AGTAGTTATTATTTATTAGTATAAATACACAGGTGATTATTGAAAATCTCGCGCGCTGATTGGTCGAGAAACTCAGATTATCACACGATAATCATCTTCACCGATAATCCAAGATGGCGGCCAGCCGCTTTGTTGCTGTTTCCTAATTTTAAATACGTCTTTTATCTTCTCTTTTTTCCCTTTTTTTGAAAGAATCTCCTGTGTATTTACACTAAAACAATTATTCACCTCAGGCTCAGTGAATATCGGGAATAACAACGTCACGACTTCGTTTCGGCTATTATTCCCCTATACTCACTTCGCCTTCGGCGAATAATTGAAATGACAACAGAAGAAACAAACAAAAGAGAAATGGAAAAATTGGAGTAAATCGGCGGGACATCTGAAAGAAAATGTTGAGTGTAGTTGTAGAAAATGTTAGAATGCATCTGGGCTATGTGACATAAACTATCCAGTACTGTTTCTACAAAGATTATTTCTGTAAATTTTCATTCTAATTCGGATTTCTCATAACGTTATATAACATGAATTTCAAAATTCACAGCATGTACTTCAGCTTGTATTATAATATGATCAGTCCATGTATCTTACATAGATCTATTGTTTTGAAATATTCCAGCCATGATAGTTTCCAGTTTACTTTCCATAAATCGTTCAGGATTCTCTGTTGAATACTGAATAGCTGCAGGTCTTTATTTCTAAATGTCTGCTTGAGTCACTCTTATGGGCAATAGACGATTCCATGCTATGGAGTTAGTTGTGTCAGGAAATTCAGCGAAAAGTTTGATATGTGAGAGAATCGGGAATTTCACATGTGAATCCCATAGTGAAAAGATCGAAAATAGACTTATTTTTACGAGTTTCATATGATTCACAGGACAAAAAACAGAGCGCGGGGTTCCTTTATTCCCATGTAATTCGGCTTTTCAAATGACCTCAATTTTAATTCAATTTTCGAGAACAAATCATCTGTTTTTGCAGTTTTCTTCCTTTTTTTACATTTTAAGTAGTTTTCATGTTTATTTGGTATTTAGATGGAAAAGAATGAACAAGAATTAAGATGAAATGTCAAATTCAACATAAGTTCCCTAATTTTTAATGTGATTCCATGTGCAAATGTGAAATACCCCTCTTGTCATCTCTAGCCAATCAGCGCGCGTATTGATAATGAGAAATTAGATTAAGATGTCATTAACATAACCAAAATGAATGCAATGAATGCAATGAATGCAATGAATGCAATGAATGCAATGAATGCAATGAATGCAATG